CCTCATGTCCTTAAATCATCAGCAGTACTGACTTTGATTAGCTGTTTTCCCAGCATCTGTCAAGATGCTTCTCAGCCTTTCTGTTAATATAGACCTGTGGTTCTCAAATTTTGTGGCTTTAAGACTCTTTTGCCTTCCTAAAAATTATTAAAGACACTAAAAAGTTTATACAAACTCTACAAAGTTTGTATAAACTCTTGTTCATATAACAAACTTTTGTTTGTTTACACAAACTCTACAAAGTTTTGCTGACTGCTAACAAAAATAGAAATTCTAAATAAATAAAGATAAAAATCCCAGCCAGGTGTGGTGGCTCATGCCTGTAATCCCAGCACTTTGGGAGGCTGAGGCAGGCGGATTGCCTGAGCTCAGGAGATCACAACCAGCCTGGGCAACATGGTGAAAACTCATCTCTACTAAAAAAAAATACAAAAAATTAGCCGAGCATAGCGGCATGCACCTGTAGTCCCAGCTATTCGGGAGGCTAAGACAAGAGAATTGCTTGAACCCAGAAGGCAGAGGTTGCAGTTAGCCAAGATCATGCCACTGCACTCCAGCCTGGGCAACAGAGTGAGACTTTGTGTCAAAAAAAAAAAAAAAAAATCCCAATCCTTAATGGGAAGACCCTGTAATGTGGTAAAAGTCATATCCTGCCATGTGGATTCTAAGATCTCCGCCTTCTGCATTGAAACATCCCTGAAACAGACACATTTTACAGTCAAGGGCATATCTCAGCTTCATCGGCACCATGTTTTTCCTTCCTATTAGTAAATATAATAATAATTTATCTTAAAAGAAATGTCTGACTTAATATGCACTTTATACCCCTTAGCTTATTCATTCTGTACAGCAACCCTGCAAGTATTATCAGTGTAATTATTACTCCACATTACAGGTAATGAAGCTGAGAGAGAAGTTTTGCAGCTGTCACACAGCTGGGGGAGAGCTGGGATTCAAACCCAGGTGGTCTGGTCCCAGAGCCTCTGCCACTCTGCTCCACCTCTCAAAGGGTTGAATTTCTTCAAAGCCATCTAGAATTCAATCCAATCTCAATTAAAGCCCCCAAAGGTAAAAGAACATGGACTGGGATCTTGACTTTCTAGATAACAAGCACTCCGCAGAACTGTAGTGGCTGCATCAGTCATGCGCCGTGAAGGGACAGATGAGTTGATGTGTAGGGTGGCCTGGGCCAGACGCGGAGCCTGTGGGTAGGAATGCAAGGTGTGGTTGAATGCAGGTTGCACCTCAATTGGGAAGGGGGTGATAATGGTTTATTCATGTGTCAAAACAAAATAAAGACAAAAGACAGTTAAACCTCTAGCTCACATCATACCCACAAAAATTTTAAATGGGTTAAAAACCAAACATAAAAATCAGAGCGTTTGGCTGGGTGAGGTGGCTCACGCCTGTAATTCCCAGCACTTTGGGAGGCCAAGGCAGGTGGATTGCCAGAGGTCAGGAGTTTGAGACCAGCCTGGCCAACATGATGAAATACTTTCTCTACTAAAAAAAATACGAAAAATTAGCTGGGCGTGGGGGCAGGTGCCTGTAATCCCAGCTACTTGGGAGGCTGAGGCAAAGAATCTCTTGAACCTGGGAGGTGGAGGTTGCAGTGAGCTGAGACTGCACCATTGCACGCCAGCCTGACTGATAAGAGCAAAACATCTAAAAAAAAAAAAAAAATCAGAGCATCTACAGATGACTCTGAAGATGCAGAGACACAGGAATGGGGAAAACGGGGCAAATGGAGGTATGTGAAAGCACTCCTGCCAGCAGGCAGCAAACGCCAAGTCTGCCCACGAGAGGTCATTTTCCACCCAGCGGGCTGGAAGGAGCTGGATGGTGACGATGCAGGGAGATGGCCCCTGTCCTGCGTGGCTGGGAGGAGGGTCCCAGGAGGAAACTAATGGGTCATTCAAACTAAGACACCCAAGAGAGTTTAATAAGTAGGTGGTTTACAAGGAGGGGACCGGGAAAGAAAGCCACAGGTGAAGGTTGATAACGGATGTCACCACACTCCCGAGTCTGAAGGGACGAGGGAGAAGTTTCTGACCCAGAAGAAGAGACCTGGGTCAAGAGATCCAACCCTACCACACATGACCACACAGAGAGGGAGCCAGGGGTGAGACGGCCCCATCCCCTTCCTCCCTCCCTCCCATTGGCCACGCCTAGGAGTAGTCTGGAAGTCCCAGGAGCCAGTCAGTGACATCCGCATGGCACAGGTGCCTGGGCAAAAAGCAGCCATTATTCGTTTATTACCTAAGTGGCTCAGGAACCCATTTCCACAGCTTTCCATCCACTCTCGTGAGCTGCAAGCCTCCACAGGGAAAGGAGGCAGGCCGTGTTTCGGGGGAGGGGAGGCTATTCAACCCCAGGAATAGCCTCCACACTGGCCCAAGCCCCTGAAACCCAGCCCTGCCCACCACACAGAGATACAAGGCTCTCCAGACAGAGGGCCTCCAGTGGAGGGGCATGGGGCAGTGGGGAGCCCTCCCCAGCTACTCCACATGTGACAGGGTTCCACAGCACACAGGACATGCACTATTTGTTTGGTGGTGGTATACCTACCCCGACTTCTCACCAAAGCAAAACAAAGCAAATGTGAGCCGGAGGGGCCGAGCCGGTGTCGGGAAGGGCAGGGTGCCTCGTGTGTGACTGTGGCTTTCCTAACGAGAACAGTGCCCAAGGGCCATTTCCCCGCACAGAGCCAGGCTGCACCCCAGGCTTTCAGAAGGGGGCCCATGAGGGATACCAGAAGCTCTACTAGAGAGGGTGTTCACCCACCTCCGTAACCTGCTGAGCTCTGACCCCGTTTCAGGGCAACAGTGGTAATGATAAGACCAAGGAAGGCGTTGGAGGGAAGGGGCTGGAAGGCTCCGTGGTGAGGGCTGGGTGTTTCCTGGCTGGTTCTCCCCATCCCTGCCACGCTGCCTGCTGTGATGCTGGGAGCAGCTCAGTGGCAGGGATGGGCATCAGCTGGCTTGCTTTGGAAACACTTGACCTCCCTGCTTGGCAGCCTCCCTGTGGCTTGCATTTGCTAATTTCCCTCCAGATGTTCTCCCCAAAGCCTCAGGCACCCACTGCTTCCACCCTTAGCCCCCAAAGCCAGAGCATTGCCGAGGAAAAGACCAAGAAGGCAGAGACCTTCCTAGCCAGGCAAGGCGGGATGTTCTGCAGGGTGGATTCTCAGAGGGGCTCCCCAGAGAGTCTACCAGGCCGTCAGGAGGCAGACACCACAGCAGGGGGCCGAGGGTGGAAGGCCAGCCTGCACCGCTGTGGACAGCTCAGCCTCCTGGCTCCATCAGGGCTATGGAGACTGTCTGGCCAAGGCCCCTCCCATGTCTCCCACCCACCCACCTAAGCTTTTTTGGATGAAACTGGCAAGATGGGGACTTCTGAGACCAGTGGTACAGGTGGCAGGAGGTGGGAGCATCAGGAGGAAGAGGTGGGATTTGAGGTACAAAAGCAAAGGTGTGGGATTTGGCGTACAAAAACAGAGGGCAGCCCCTGCTGCTGGGATAGGCACAGGCTTTTCCTGCAGCTCCTGCCTGCAGAGCTTCGTGCTGGGTCAAGGTGCCAGAGGGTCACCCTGGCCACCACCCTGCATGGTTCCACACCACACATGGAGAAATTGAAGCTTGGGGAGGCTGAGAGAAGGGTCGTGTTCATCTACCCAGAAATCAGGGGGCCAGGATGGAGCCCCATTCTGCTGCACTCCAAGCCCATATGTTCCCGCTGTGCTGCCATGGGGCAGAGGAGCTGTGCTGTGTGGGCACTCCCAGATCTACAACCCCAAGCCCCAAATCTGGATGCCCCCCAATTGTGGGCCTGACCCTGGGTGGGCCCGGAGGAGATGGTGGCAGCTCCACTAGGCCATCTACCCTCAGAGGGCAAGACAGTTACTGTCCTGTTCATTCCTGCATCCCAGCACCCAATGCTCTGCCTGCACGCAGTAGGTGCTCAATAAATACATGAGTCAGTCTGGTTCATGTTCAAATAGATTTAAACAAACAGTTGCAGAAAAAAGCAGCATTAGAACTTTGATCAACGCATTATATGCTGCCTTCGACTCTCCCTGTCTCCCAGAGGCTGCAACATTCTAGCTGTGCCTTGCCGGGTGTGTAGGAGTTTGGGGTGGGGACGGGTAGGAAGGGCACCTCTGGCGGAGGGAGCAGCCTGCCAAGGCAGTGAGGAGTGAGCATTTGGATATGGTTGGTCTGGGCATAGCTGGGGTAACAAGCCTGGGTGCGGTTCTGGGGACTCAAATGGTGGTGACCGGGCAGACACCATCCTAGGAGTGAAGAGGAACAGCCAAGGGGCTCATGCAGGGGAAGCTACCCTGGGTGAGGGCGCTTGAGACAAGGGTCAATGCCCTGGGGTGGGGTATGGGGAGGGTGCGGAGAGGGAGGCTGGGACTAGAGGCCGCCCTCTTCAGCCTAGGGCCTGGTGCCATGGTCCAAGCGTCCTCAGGGCAGGTTGGCTGAGTCGAGCTCTGCCCCTTCTCCAGGGCGCCAGTGGTGCAGGGAAGGAGGGGCTGGGCCAGCGCTCACCACGGAGCTCTTCATTATCTCTACACTCCAGACTCCCCCTCAGTCCAATCACCATGGCCAGTGGTCTCAGTGTGGGGTTTCCAGAGCAGGGGGAGGCCCTGCTGCCTGCCACGTCTTGTCTGGGTGGCTGCCAGTCTCGGGCCAGCTGTGTTTGCAGGGGACGCTGCATCTGACTCCACAGAGCCGCAGGCAGACGCTTTCTCACAGCAGCGTCTTTCATTCATTCAACAAACAGCTGCTGTGGCTGGTGCTGGGAGACAGCAGAGAGGCACGAAGCCCCGGCCCTCGTGGATGTGCCATTCCAGGACAGAGAGGCACGAAGCCCCGGCCCTCATGGATGTGCCATTCCAGAACAGAGAGGCACGAAGCCCCTGCCCTCGTGGATGTGTCATTCCAGGACAGGGAGGCACAAAGCCCCGGCCCTCATGGATGTGCCATTCCAGGACAGAGAGGCACGAAGCCCCGGCCCTCGTGGATGTGCCATTCCAGGACAGAGAGGCAGAGAACGAGAGGCCAAACAGATGAGGCTGTGCCCCCTCCCCTTCCCAGTTTGTACCGGGGCCAGGCCTCTCTCCCATTTCACAGTGTGAGGCTAGCCGGCAGCAGGGCTCATCTGTTCATGCACAGACCCGTAGCTGATGCTCTTTCTGCTTCCTCAAGCCAGCCAGGCGGTGAGGGAGGCAGCATCCAGGCCAGGGCAGAAGGGGCCTGGGCCTCCCATGGCTCCCATCGCCCCTGGGTGGCACAGCGCTGGCCTCATGTCCTCGCTCTGCCCCGACCACCTGCTTCCCCACGATTACCCCTGCTGTTCTTCTTTCTCTCCTCCCACACCCTCCTCCTCCTCACCCCCATCCGAATCTGCCATTGTTAGGCAGGCTCTGGGGCTGGAGGCTTGGATAGATTCTGAAGAGAGAGCAATGGGTAAGTCCTCGGTTTTATTCTTTGTGCCCACGGGGAGACCGAGTCTCGGGTGGCAGAGCTGCCCCATGGGTGCTCTAGAGACTCTGTCCTGAGGGGAGGAACTGCTCTGCACGGCTGAAGTGAAAGTCTGGCGTGTCAGTCCGGCATGACATTTTCTCATCATGTCCTGACGCTGGCCTGTGTCCATCACAGGGGGAGTTCTCTTTCATCGTTTTATTAAAACGAACAGCATTCAGCAGCGTCTGCAACCCTGTGCTCATAGAAGCAGAAAGGTTATGGGAAGATTGCTTCAATATTAGGTTCCCCTAGTCCAGATAGGCAATCTCAGACTTTTATTTCTTATTTTCTAGTGAAACAGACTGAGGTTCACACCCCAGGCATAGGACAGGGGTGGACTTTGGATTCAGATGGGTCCTAGCCTCGGGCAGCCTCGGGCAGGCCATGCACTTTCTCTAAGTCTCAGTTTCTTTACTGTAAATCCAGTAAAATGAATGAATCATTCCTGTCTCCGGGGCCCCCAGGGCAGTTCAAAGGGAATAAGCACAAGACAAATGCTAGCTATCAGCCCGGGCGGTCCGCGTCCCGCTCCGCCCGCCTCAGGAGGCCGTCCCGTCAACCTTTGAAATCCTCACCTCCCTCTGAGCTGGTGATGACGACAACTCTTGCCTCTGTCTCTGCGCCCACAGTATGTGAGGGAATGAATGAGCGAATGTAGGCATGGCCTGCATTTGCTCGAGCTGTGAAGAAGTGCTTTGGCTGAGAAAGTAAAACCCAGATTAGGAGTACTCTCTGTTAATGCTGCTCTGGAGTAAAAAAAATCCCTGCGATGGAGGAAGGCTCTGAAACAATAAATCCTCCATCTCTCCCGTCTCGCCTTTCCTCTGCTCTGCGGCAGGATTTGTCAGGATGATCCGTGACTCACAGACGAAGCTGGAAGAGACCCCTTGACGGTCCCCTGAGCGCCTCTCAGCACCATCTCCTCCTCATCCATCATCCGCGATGATTCCTAAAGAATGAACACATCAAGCTTGCTGTCACAACGTTTTTAAACATTGCAGTAATTAACAGCCACCAGTAATTTCTTTTCAAACCAGGGCAATGGAAACACCCCCCACGCCGCACACCTGAGCCCGCGCACACCCTCCCGCTCTGTCCGCCCGCACGCCGCCGCTTGCCTAACCCTCTCACTCTCTCTTGCGCACTTCGGTACCTCGTCATTCTCCCGGGCCCGTCTGAGGACACCCAACCTAACAGCCCCAGGATGCGGGGCGCACTCTGCCTATTCAACATCACAGAGTAATCACAGCAACTTGCGGCTGCCCGGCCCTCAATCGTTTCTTTAAAAAAAAAAAAAAAAAAAAAAGCATCTCTTCTCTAAATGGGCTTGACCTTAACCTGCACAGATCATCTGGAGTTGAATGGACACAGGTTCCGTGACACAAACGGATCAAAGGGGCTGTCGCTGGGCCCTGTCAATCAACTGCAGAACCTCTCACGGCTGCAGGCTAGGAAGAGGAAAGAATTCAACCACCAAACAAGGGTCAGTCTGGTGCAACCACTTCCATAGTTTGTCCTGGCACCGATATGAGGAAGAGGACCCTCTTTCAGTGTGCTGAGATCCACCGAGCAGCTGAATGGAGGTCGGTGCTGGGGGTGGGGGGTCACCCACACAGACCAGCGAGCAGCTGCCCTTCTGCAATCTCAGACTTCCAACGCCAAGGGGTCCTGGGTGCCAGCTGTGCTGCAAGTGGACAGCCAGCCTCTGCCCAGACGTGGCTGGACATGGTGCGCTCACCCCTTCCAGAGGGTTCCCAGAAAGGGACAGGAGGAGCTCTGGGCCATCGTTGTCATCACTCTCCACAGCCTGGCAGAAACTTTATTCCTCGAGTGCTTTCTTCTTTCTGCCTCTGCAGAACGAAACTCGGCCATCAACAGCAGCTGCTCACATCCTGTTCCCAAGAACCTCGTCCCTCCATATGAGTGTGCAGGGGACTGTGCGTGGGTGCAGCGTGACTGGAATGTCAGGGGTTCCCCACCACCACCGGTTTTGTGTTTTCCTCTGCCTCCAGCCAGTGAGCACCTCTTGTGCACATACAGATCCCCAGAGAGAAAGAAGTGCCGATGCCTCTTCTTCAGGAGGCTGTAAGTCTTTGAGCAATGAGGCTCTCCGCAGTCGACTCCAAGAAACCGAAGGGCACAGAGATCCTGCTTGTACAGCGTCAGGCTGATCTTACGCAAGCCCCGTTTGCCCCGAGTGGAAAACGAACCTTTGTAAACTGCCACCCATGAACCAATGTGTTGGGGGTTGTTCAACCAGCGTGGCCATCTGCTGGATTTGAGTTACATCCGCGAAGCTCTGTGTTATGGGACGATGCTGCTGGTGGGGACAGAGTAGCTGCCGTTGGCTGAGATTGCCACGTGACTAAACAGCATATTGTAGTGGAAGAATCACCAGTCCGGTGGCAGAATGCCGCTCCTCCCACCCCCAGGCCTGTTTTTGGCCAACCTAAAAGAACTGCGTGTAACTAGGATCCTTTTTTTGCACGCACCAGGAGAACGTGCTGTTTAGGGAATCCTGATGATGAATTGTTTTTAAAGTCAGGCCAGAGACTCTTCCTTATCTTCCTCTCCCTCTCACCCATTTTTATTTCCTGAAATTGGTTTTTGCTTAAAATCAGGGCATGCTTTTGCACATAAATAATGAGTTTGGTGGTGACCATCCAGCCTCGAAATCCAAATGACATCTGTTTGCTGTGGCCGCCTCTGCTGGCTGTGTGACCTTGGGTGAGTCACCTCACCCGTTTGTTACTGTCCATAAAGTGAGGGCAATCCAAGTATCTATTGTACACGTTGTGGCTAGTATTTGGAACTCTTTTAAATAAAATGGGCTCAGTTTTAAATATGGTTTCGTCATCACAGGCATCAGGAACACATCTCTCCACACTGCACAGGAAAGAAACCAGCACATCAAGAGGCCAAGAGCTACAGAGTCTGAGCTGGTTCCACAGAGGTTTCTAGCTGCTCAGATCCACAGCTGCAGGATTCTGCAGAGTTTGAGTGAAAAGTCAGCCCGGAAAGACGTGGAAGGGCATTGAGGTAGTTGGTAAAGACAGGGTTTGGCAGTGATGTTGCTTTTAAAATTCTTGGCACACACTTGCAACTCTCAAATAAAAAACAAGTTGCTCAGTTGTCATAATGGGGATTTTGACTAAAAATGATGATTTAAAGGATTCCTATGTCAACTCCTAAAACATCGATTGGCTGGCTGCTTTGCCTCTTCCTCCTGGCTCCCTCTCTCTCTTTTTCTGCTTTTCTCTCTCTCTCCTTATATGGAATTTCTATCTGTGTTTACCATCCTTTTTTCTAGGTGGAGCTGGTTGGGAAGAACGTGGAAGTTCTAGAAGAAGGGGATTAGGAGCAACGCCTTGGGAATCAGGCAGATCCGCCTCAGGTCTGCTGCTGTTAGGCCTAAAGTGTTCACCTGCAAAATCAGGGTAATGACAGTATCTGTATCTCATCGGATGGCTGAGAAGACTAAATAAGACAAGGCTCGCAGGGCGTTTAGCCTTGTGTCCGGCTCGAGTTAAGCACATAATGAGTGATGTTTATCATGAGACAAGTGCCTAGTGGGAGCAGGTACTGCTCACAGTTAATTAATGAATCAAACACAGCCCCTGGTCCCTTGGGAAATGAAGCAGGTGATGTTTAATTATCCTGCTTAGAAGAGAATGAGATACTCATGGGGGCAGGAACCAGCTTTTCCTATTAGTTAAGAGAAATGGGAGACTTGCCTGGTTTGTTATAAGAGAAGTCACTATGGTTAAAGCGACCTGACCAGCCCTGAGAAACTCAGCAGGGGCCCTTGCCAGGGGAGGCAGCGGGCTGGACATTTGGAGCGTGTCTGTTTGATGTGAGCACTCACACTCTTGCCTATGGGCGAGTTGCTCACCCATCTGTAAAAAGGAAATGGACTCCCAGCACCTTACTCTACTGTACAGACAGTATTCTCATCAGTATTCTCATGTCTAGAATGGGGGTGAAGCAAGGTTGTGGTTACCACCAGGATGGAGCTTTTTACAGAGAACTTAGTGGTCGATCATAATGAAAGCATACATTTAAGGCCAGCTGTGGTGGCTCACGCCTGTAATCCTAGCACTTTGGGAGGCCGAGGCAGGCAGATCACTTGATGTCAAGAGTTCAAGACCAGCTTGGCCAACATGGTGAAACCCTGTCTTTGCTAAAAATACAAAAAGAATTAGCCGGGTGTCGTGGCACATGCCTGTAATCCCAGCTACTCGGGAGGCTGAGGCAGGAGAATCACTTAAACCCAGGAAGTGAAGGTTTCGTGAGCTGAAATCGTGTCACTGCACTACAGCCTGGGCGACAAAGTGATACATCTCAAAAAAAAAAAAAAAAAAAGTACACATTTATATGGTGCATTTCTACCAGACATAGCTCTGAGTGCTGTACATGTTCTAACACAAACCCCTTCTTAACACAGATTTCTCTCCATTCAGGGTCCCTGCGACTGCAGCCTCGAGTGGAGTACCTGCAGAAACAGGGGAATGCCTCCTGGGGCACCCCTCTCAGGCGCAGGAACCTTAGGTCAGAAAGGTCCCCTCGTACCCAGCCCAAATCTGCCTTGCTTTAAGTTGGACCTAGCTCTGCGCTTTGGGGACAGGGAAAAGGGATCTGCTCCCCTTCTCCGTGGATGTGGGAGAGATTCAAAGGCAGCTGCCAGGCCCCAAACACCCTCCCACGGGGAGCAGAGTGAACCCTGCCCCTCCTCTCAATTGCTCCAAGGTTGCTAACCCAGAGAAGGGAAACCAATGGTAACACAGGCGAGCATTTATTAAGCACTTATGGTGTGCAGGGCCTCCACACAGCATTGGATTTCATTCTCAGACCAACCCTCAAGGTGCTGGTGTTAACACCCCATTTTAAAGATAACCAGCCGCTCAACCAGTGTAAGGGACTTGCCCCACGGTGGAAAAGCAGCAGCTTCGGCCTGACTCCAGATCCCAACGCTGTGGAAGCCGGAACGCCCCAAGAACAGGCGGAGAGCAGAGGGGGCACCGCAGGGGGCGGGCCGGGATGTGGGCGCCCCCCAGGCCTCGCCGGAGGTCGCTTGGCCCCAGCGACAGAGGACGAGCTGTCAGCACAAGGGACAGCTCCCCGGGCCGCTCCCGGCATCCCCGACGACTGCGCGCGCGAGCCGGCGACGCGCGCTCCCCGCCAGGCTCGGCCGCGCGCCTTCCCCACCAGCGCGCGCCCTGCGCTCGGGACTGGGCTGGAACGGCGCGTGCCGCTCGCAGGGAGCCAGCCAGGGCGTCCGGAGCCGCGGCCGCAGCGCGGAGCTGGCAGGGACGCCCGCCCGGGCACTCAGTCGCCTCCCAGGGGGCCTCCCGGGCCTCTCGGCGCCCGCCTCGCCCCCCCAAGCCCCACCAGGCGTCACCGCCGTGGCCTGGGCTTGAGCGGCCGCCGCTAGCTGCGCCCTGCCCGGGACGGACGCCCGCCCGCCCCGTCACGTGCGCCCAAGTCCTCGCGGCCGGGGCAGCGCCGTTCCCATGGTTCAAGGTAAGGGCCGAGCGGGCCGCGGGTCACGGGATGTGGGGCAGAGGACGCAGGCTGGGAAGCTCCAGCTGGGTGTCCACTCGTCCGGAGTGCCCCGGCTGCCTCGCACCAGGTTCCCTGACCCAGCTAGCGTCACCCATCCCAGGGCCTCCACCCTGAAAGCGCACCCCTGTGGAGGAAGCGGAGACCCAGCTGGGCACAAGGGCCTAAGGGAGAGGTGGGGGACCCACTTTAGGAAGCAGCGCTTCTTTCCTCTGAACAGTGGCCTGGGGGTGGGGGGCAGAAGGGAGGGAAAGTTTCCTGGAAGAACCCACTGGAAACGTGGCCCCACTCTCCTTCTGCCAGAAGCTAAGACTTTTTATTTTGCTGAGCTTTGCCTTCTGCCAGGGCAGGTGCCACATTATCATCCCGTCCCATTTACCCAACACCCACGAGAAAGGGGCATTGGCCCCATTTCACAGATGCAGAAACTGAGTCTCAGAGAAGTTTGGTCTCTTGCCCAAGGTCACACAGTGGGGAAGTGGTGGAGCTGGCCTCAAGCACTGGCCTCTGTTAGCACCAACTCACACCTGAGTCTGCTGGAAATCTCTGCTTCAGTGACACGTTGGTGGGGACCTGATTGCCCTGGGTTTCCCCAGCCAAGAAGGCTCAGACTCTAAACACCAAAACCCAAGAGATATTCGACATGGGTCCTCAGGGCTCCACTGTCTCACCCCACTCATGTCCTGTCCTTCCACGGCCAGGGGCTGCCTGGGCACAAGTGGTCCTGCCAGTGTGTGTCCTGCAGCAGCCCTGGTGGCTCTGAGACAAGAAACTTGAGGCCCAAATTCATAGACTGTTCTGCAGGATAAGGGGAGTATCCTTGAGGCCTGAGCCCCAGCATTCATCCTGGCACCTTCCCCAGGAAGTAGGAGCTCAGGCAAGCCAGCAGGCCAGCCTTCCAGCCTTCTCCCTACATTTCCCTCAGCCCTGCCAGCCCCGGCTCTTCGGGGCTTCTGGGGAGAGCAGTAACTGCCAGCCCCCAAAAAGTTCAGGGTTGCTGGGAAAGCACCCTTGCCCATCTTCCCACCTTCTCCCTCCTTACAGAATTGAGAGTGGAGTAGAGGTGACCAGGGCTCTACTTACCTGAGCAGGTGAGAACCAGCACTTCCTGGGCTGGGCAAGGGCTGCTTTTAACTCTTGGTGCACTGGCTGCAAGCTTCCTAAACAGCTTTGGTGCTGGCGGCTTGTGAAAAAATCTCACTCTAAGGCTCGGGAGCCCAGGAAATGTGGGGTTTTGTTCATTCGGTCTTGCACTTGCTGGCAGTTTGTTGAGTATCTGCACGATGCTATGAAAAAGACCCGCAGGGCAGACTTTGTACCCTGGATCCAGCTGGGTTTTGGCTTCCCTGTCAGCTGAGTTTCCAATGGGGCTGGCTGGTCTGGACTCGCTTGGAAAGCTTGGAAATGGCTCCTGAAGGATGTGGGGGTCTGGGAAGGATCCTCAAGCTTTCCCAGCCTCAGCGCCCCAGTGCATGGGGAGGGAGTGGGAGCTCTGGGGTGCATTGCTGGATTCTCAGGACGTGCCAACACCACGCAGAACGCTGGTGCACAGAGGTGTTGCAGTGTCCCCACCCTCGCCTCTCCAGCAGGTAGGGGAAGGAGCCCCACAGAGCTCCTCCTAGCCTTGAGGCTGGAGTCCCCAGCGCACGTCTGTCATGCCAGTACCATCAGCAAACATGAACAAGGGCACCTGGGGAAAGGTGGGCACAGATGGAGAAGCCGGGACTTATCTGGCAAGTTCTGTCCACCTTTCTGGGTGACCTTGGGCAAGTCACTTTCCTCTCTAAACCTCAGTTTCCCATGTACAAAATTATGGGGGATCATTTAATGTCCCCTCCGAGCCATTGCAGCTCTGTTCATCGAAGTCCCGGATGGAGTAGGGAGGCTGGGAGGAGTGCAGTCCCTTCCTTTCTGCCATGGTATTGAGGGCGCGCAGAGTAGTTTTGAAATCTTCGGACTGACCTGAGTCCAAGCCCCCAATCCCTGCCAACCCTACTCCCTACTCAAACATGATCACCCCAGTTTTGTATATTTAGGGGCCAACTCTATATTCCTGACTCTTCTGGTGCTGGTTCCAGGTGAGGCTTCACAGCATGGGGACCCACTCCTGTAGTGAGACCTCTGGCTCCTGCCACGTGGGCCTTCCTCTGCAGCCTCATGGCAGCGAGCTCCAGCGAGGAATAATTACAGCACTCGGGAGGGGAGAGATTTATTACATCTCAGTCAATTATCTCTGACTCTAAAGTCTTGGGGCAGGGGGGGAGGCTGAGTAGCAGCCAGGCCCTTGTCCTGTCCTCCACTCAGCTCCTGGCCCCACGTCCCTCTCCAGAGTAGCAAGTCCTGATCTATGTGTCAGTAAAACGGCAATTTGTGTGGCAAGGGGAGTGGATTCCAGGCCAGACCACAGGCACATCGCTCGGCATCCCCATCTGCAAAACTGAGAGTGCTTCTGCCCTCTCTGCTGGCACATGGGGCACCGGGGCAACTGTGAGCCCGGGCGAGAGGCTTTTCGACCCTGAGAGCATGTGGTCCCCGGGCCACCCTGCAGAGGCCAGAGTGGGGCTGGGGGCTTCTCAGCCGTTGCTGCCACATTTGGCGCCGGTGTTCCTGGCGGTGTCTCTCGCTTTGGATTTGCTCCAGAGGGGATCTGAGAGTTCTGAAGCCTCAGTGTTTGCCAGCTCCTTCCCTCCACTGCTGAATCCTCCTGCAGCCCTTGGCCTCAGCCCCGTTTGCTGGGGGCTGCTCCAGAGGGGAAGGACTCCTATGGCCCCTGGGGTGAAATGAGCTGGTGGAGGGAGAATGCAAGGCCCAGCTTTGCTGCTTTTTGGTTGTGGGACCCTGGGCCTGAAGGTCTTGGGCTGGGAAATGGAGACTGTGCCTCCTTCCCTGGGGCCTCATCAGTGAAGGAGGAGGCTGGAAAGGCAGGTGGGGTCCAATTCGGCCAGGCTTCTAAGCCCTGCTCAGTGGTCAGGCTTTCTGCCACGGTCCACAGGAACCAGGCCTTGTGAGCCTGAGGGACACGGTCAGCTCTGGCCTTTAGGGGACACTCTCTGGCCGCACCATGGGAAATGACTTGGAGAGGGGCCCTGCAGACAGGAGGCTGGGGGGGAAGGGAAACAGTGGGGGCCTGGACCAGGGTGGTAAGGAGAGGGCAGGTGACAGGCATGGAGGGGGCTGGATATTTGTGTGGGGGTGGTGGGAGACAGCCTAGGACTGCGCCAATGTCACACCTATACCACCCTCTTAAGGCAGGCTCAGGCAGCACCGGGCACTTGGGATGGGCCACACGTGGGCAGTGAGGATGCAGCCCCAGGGCCAGGGAGGGCTGTGGTTTCAGCAGCAGCTCCGAGTCAGTGTCAGAGCCGGCACCCTGCTGGGCTGGGCCTTGCGCCTGTGCTCTGGGTGCTCCCGGCCCTCGGGGAGGCGTGCCTGTGGGAGTGGGTCCCTGCTGGACCGAGCTGTCACCTCTGCCCTTGTGCTCGGTTTTCCCAAGTGGCAGAGGTGGAAGAAGGTGGCAGCAGCTGGGAGGCTCAGGTGGAGGCCAGGCAAGGACAGGGACAGAGGCCCCAAAACGATCCAGGCTCCCGGGGCCGCCAGCTCGCCCACCACATTCCCTGGCTACTGAGGGTGGAGGTACTGCCGACTGGACAAGAGCACATGTAGCTGAGCAAAGCCATGTTTCTATCCAAGCTGTGTGTCCCTCGTGAGGTTTCTCAGCCTCTCTGGGCCCCAGGTTCTTCATTCATAAAACAGCAATCATTACATCTGCCGCGCAGGATGTGCCAGCTTACCTCCCAGCCAGCAGACCGGGAGAAGAGCCCACGCCCGGCCGAGCCCCAGCAAAAACCTCCTCCAGGCCGGGTCCGCCGGGTCATGCTCACTTCCTGGCTCTGCCGTAAGGTGGCGTCAGGGCCAGCGGGCCTCAGACTGCACCTGGCAGGAAGGCAAACCCCACACCGTGGGGCGGCTTTGGCTCCTGACCTCAGTGTTCACAAACAGAACCATCGCCGCCTCCATCTCTGTTCCTCATGAGCGGGTCCACGGTCTCTGCGTGCAACAGGCTGGCCCTGTCTGGGAGCCGGGCCTGCTGGCAGGTCCCGGATCCCTGGAGAATCATCCTCTCTCTTTTGTAATCATCCTCATTTGCATTTGCCGTGTTTGGCTGCACTACCTTACAGACATCCATCTGAAATCGTGCTACTCCAGATGGGGGTTGAGGACCAGCAGCAGCAGCAGCCCTGGGAACCCGTGAGAAACGCAGGTTCCCAGGCCCCCAGACCTGTTGTAACCGGCCCCCAGGTGATTCCTGTGTTCGTGGAGTTTGAGACTCACCATCCACCATGGCAGAAAAGAGATGCTACTCGCATAAAGCAAGGGCGACTGTCTCCCTCAGGCTCCTTATATATTTAACTAACGTATATTAAGTTTGAACATCTATTAAAGGGTATGTGAATAAAAGAAGCACATGCTTCCAGGAAGAGAAAAACCAGGCGACTCAGCTGTTGTTGGTTGGCTGTTTTTTTTACCAAGTAGAAGCCCCCGGTTTCCTGGGTGTGGCCGGCCGCCAGTGCTCTGCTGTGTCAGCCACAGGGGCCCCCTCCCCAGGGGACCAGTCTGTGTGTGTCCCCCCTGTCCTTTGACTTAACAGGTCTTGGTTATGTCTGCGTGTCGACACCCCGGTCTGTCATGGATTTAGCTGGACTCATATCGGTAAACAGGGATGTAGGTCACAGGCAGGTTTTGTTTGTTGTGTGTGTTCATTGTATATACTTGTTCACTGAAGTGATCACCCAGGGAAGGATTTCATAGTTGGGCGAGGGATGTGCAGTGTGAACAGAAATAAATAGGCCGGCGCCATGGCTCACATCTGTAATCCCAGCACTTTGGGAGGCCGAGGCGGGCGGATCACATGAGGTCAGGAGTTTGAGACCAGCCTGGCCAACATAGCAAAAC